GAAGGGAAAAAGGAATTGTCTTTTGAGTCCAGTCCTCAGTTCCTGCTTATCTTTTTGGAATACCAGTTTTTCTAGCTCAGGAGTTGGTAAGTAGAAAGAGAAGTGAAAGTCGGACAACGCTACAGGAAGATTCTGAAAACCATAAGATTCTTTCTACATGGGCAAAAGGAAAACCACAAACTCAAACACCACAAACTCAAACACCCTTCTTCTTACAAAAAGCTACCAGAGCCTTTTGGGTAATTACATGGCACAATCAGGAAGAGAAAAACAAAATGAAATGAAATATATACAACATGAAAGTAGCAATGTTGCCGTTTCAATAAATATTTAAATTCATAAGTGATATATTGTACACAAGACCTCGAAAGGTGCATTTAGAGTGCAGTCCATGCCAAGACCGTAGTACGATGTAGGCATACCCTAGCTAGCTTTAAAATTAGCTAGCTCAGGTACTGATAGATAGATAGATAGATAGATACTTAGATAGATACTGATATCTGCAGCAGCATGGGGCCCAGCAAGGGCTGCAGTACCTGCCTCGAGGAAGCAAAGTACTTGGGCCCACAGAGAGCTTTCCGCTGCTGCAGCTACATTGCCCATACTCAAACTGATGACTTTAGAGCTGGCTTGGGTGTGTTTACCCTGAGCTGCAGCCACTGCTGTGACTGTGGTCTAGACATACCCTGATTTGACTAACCACAGGACAATCAGAGAGGCCAAGAATGGTCTTCTGGTTAGAGATTCTGGCCTCAGACTCGGAAGTTCTTGGTTCAGTCTCTGTCTGTCACAGAGCTCCCAGTCCACCCTGGCCAAGTCACTTAATCACTCTGTGCTTCTCTCTTCCCACCTGCAAGATGGAGGGAAAGAAAATCAATTACCCCTTTTTTTGTCCATGTAGAATGTAAGCCTCTCAGGACAGGGATGACCCATTACAGTGAGTTAGCCAGGTGGGGCCATAATCTTTGTTGAGGCTGTTCCATGCTACAATAATGCAAATAAAAGTAACAGTAATGATATTGGCATTATGAAGCTGCCAAGATTTTTTGAAGTCTTTAAAATGGAGCCGATTTTTTTGAACACTGTACAGGAAGAAAAATCTCTTTCTTGGTCTTTCCCCAGACTACGGCTTGGTCTTCAAGGCACTATGGAGAATGCACCCCATTCCTCTGTCAAACACACAGAAAGGACTAGAAAAGTAATATAAATTCATTTACCAAAATGAAATGTCATACAAACTAATCATATATCAACATTCAGTGAAGCATGTGGTTCAACTGGGAAGAAAAAAAGAGAAACAAACAAATATATAAATTACAAACATGCACCTAAGTCAATGTGCTGAGATTTTAAGCAAATTTGCTTTAGCCTGAAAGCTTAAACAAACACAGTTCAGCAAAATCAGGGGCAGCAATGACCCTATTGGAACCTCTGCAAAACGTTGAGCAGTGAAACACCCAGCAGCGGCTTTTGCTCCTATGCCACATAGGGAAAGGGACATCTGCCATCCACCAAGATGGAGGTTGAACAAGTTCTTCTCAGTGATTTAACTCTATTTCAAAGAAGGTGAACCTGTAAGGTGTGACTGGATGCTTACTAAGCCTGTGTAAAGCAGCTAGCATTCACTTTGGATTTGGCCGATTCGGGGGACAGTGATTTGATTTGGTGATTCGAATCATTGCTCTAATTCGATTCGGCCGAATCTGATTCGGAGATTTCACAGGAGCCGAATCTCTGAATCAGCCAGGCCAGGCCCATCCTCCGCCCCTCTTCCAGCCCAGCAATGGCTGCCCTGCCTGCCCCAGCCCTCAGCACTTGGGGGGAAAAAAGCCCCGGCTCAGCAGGTGCTGCTGGACAAGGGGACAATCCTCACTGCTGCCCGCTACCCCCTGCTGCCCCCCGCTGTGTGGGGGGCTCTGCACGAGCCCCCAAC